TATGCATAAGTTGCCTGTTCGTGGCTTTGCACGCCCGGCCTGGCGTGCGTTGCTGGTCCGGCTACGGTTGGATTCGTTTAATAGAATTTCAACGCTTGGCTTTGTGACTGGAATTCGAAGATGCTTTTTAAATGCGAAGCAGTTCTTAGCGATCTTCAGCGACTTTGCGCGTATCTATCTATCTAGCCGCCTATGACTTTTAGCTCTCATGGCCGTTACGAAAATGTTATTGATACCAAACTTGGTATGCCATGACATGACGGTATGAAGAAGATATTTGATTAGTCATAGCATGAAAATCATGGCATGTGTGTCATGAATGTCATTATTTACATTTTATGGCCCTGCAGCTCTTGCGGAGGTTTCGTTCACATGGTATGTTGCAAAACTGATATGGTATGACATGACTGCATGCCGAACACAAGCGACCGACCCTAACATGAAAATCATGACACGCGTGTCGTGTAAGAACGTGACTACATGCCACGCTCATGATGCGCTCACGCCTGTTTCGCTAGCGTCACATATACCAAATTGGGTATTACGGCATGTGAATGGATGACGAAGGTATGCTACTGGTGCAAACATGATAAACATGAGATGCGTGTCATGTAAGAACATGACTACATGCTACGCTCACGATGCGCTCGTGGCCGTTTCGCTAGCTTCACATATGCCAAATATAATATTACGTGACGCCGATGGATGACGAAGGTATGTGACATGTGCAAACATGATAATCATGAGATACGTGTCATGTGAGAACGTGACTAGAGGCCACACCCAAGGCGCCAATATATATCGACGTGACGCGGTGCGCGTGCTCTCCGGCGTTCACATCGTCACGTCACGCCGGCGTTGCCACGCCAGGCGCCGGTGCTGCCATATACTCGCAGCCGCTCGCCGCGCTGCGTTGCTTTGGCGCATGCGCATTTGAGCGCACCCGGCGTCCCTCCCTCACGAGAAGACGTAGACGCAGTGTTTTCTGGGTAACGCATCGGCGCGAAATGCCGCATGTCGCATTTCGCGCCGGTTGTGGTCTGGCCGCGCCGATGAACGCTGGTCGCGCCTGGCGTCAGACTATAGAGTGCTCGCGTTCTGGTAACGTAGCGTCGCTGTGCCCAGCGTGCGCGCGCGTCGACGCTCGAGCCCACTCTCACGTGGGCATCATCTCACCCGCACTACCTCTCGAGAAGCCGTGAACCGGCGGATGCGCGCGCCTTGAAAATCTCGCGGCGCCGACAATGGGCAGTTTGCCGCTGCTTGCCGCGCGATTGTGCCGACGGATGGGACGCCGTCGCGACATGCTTCCCGCTAGTGTGCGTGCACCTTTCGCCGCTAGTGCCGGCGTTGCGAGGGTGAGCGAAGCCGATCGCTTTCGCAAATTGCGACGTCAACACCGACTAGTAGCGAGCCAGGGAAGCGGAACGCAAGCGTCGGCTGTGAAAGACCAGCGACCCCGACGAGGTGGGAGTCAAGAACACCGATCACGTACGAAAATACAGACGGTGCGTGGGTAACACCGACGAGACGTGAGGTAAGGAAGCCGAGCGCAAGCGTCTGTAACGCGTCCCGCCTCCCGTGTCTTTGCGTTTCAAATGCCATTTTTAGCTTAGGTGCACTGGTCAAACATCGCCCGAAACGTCAAACATCGCCCGAGTTTCACACTTCGCTACGGGCCAACTGAACGTGTGAACCACAAAACTCGAACCCGCTACAGCAGCGCTGTATGCAAGAGACGTCATTTAGCAGACGACAATTTCCAGGGTCCTGTTTGTACTGCTAGTTAGAGAGCAGACAAAAGGAAATCAAACAATGAGAGACACTTGCGATACGCTACGTGTCCAGTGGGTGCGCATCTGTTCTCCAGGCGGTTGTGCTGCATCGATTCGGTACCAACTCGATGAGGGTTACGGTAATTTCCGCATCGCCTTCGGTGTCCAGTGGAATCCTAGCAGCAAAAGTAGCCTTAAGCGCGTACGGTCGGGCGATGTAAGCTGACGCACATTTCGCATGCCGTCCAGCCGTGTTCTGTGGCAGCGCCAGCTGTGAATTACGCCAGCAATGATGGAACGTCACCGCATCGTCTGCCAGCGCGGGCAGGCTGATATGATTGCACCACGCTCCACTGTCGACCTCCGCGGTGCCGCCGTGGCGTGGAATTGTGTCATTACCGGCCCAGTCGAAAATGCGCCACTGTATGCGTGGTGCCAAGACGAACGTACGGCACAGCACAAGTGCACAGAAAACGCCACCAGTGCCGCCAGCTGAAGATTGCAAAAGAAACGTTTACTCGAGTAAATGCTACACCGAGTTTTGCTTCAAACCGTTCTTCGAGCTCCCGGGTTAACACCCGTTTCAACCGGGCCGATGCCATGTGCACGGCTACTGTTTCACTTCCCTTCGAGGAGATGGTCCATAGTTTTTTTTTTTTTTGTGAGTTTGAGTTCGAGTTAATCTGGCTTAGGAAAATTTCGGTAAGTCTGAGCGAGTCCAAAGCGAGAGACATATCTCATGAGTCTAAGTGAGTTCACTTTTTTTTTCTTTGCCGACCTATGGTCCTATCCACTCACCTTCAGCGTTACTGTTAGCCTCATTTGGATTCACGCTTATACTCATGTCCATTGACACCATTCGAAAGCGGTGTCATTTGTGCATCAATTTAGTAATGACTGATCAGAGGCGCGAAATTCGTAGAATGCTGATGAGAGCTGGTAGTACGCTGGTAAATGTGGCATGAGAAGTCATGTGATGACGCTCTATTAGACAGCAGTTTCCCAAAGGGGCCCCTATACTCCATCCATTACCATACTGTTAGAGAGAGTTGGCCGAAATGCCTCAGAAGTAAACTGCAGTTTCTGAAGATATATGTTAACGCAATAGCATTAAAGAGCTCGTTTCAAAGAAATTTCGGCGTCAGTGTCAGCGGCATGGGTTGTGAGCGAAAAATCATCAATTCGTGATCGAAAAATCTAGAAATATGCAAATTAAATAAATAATAAAACAAATCTGGGTCTAAGTGGGGATTGAATCAGGGTTCTTTGTGTGGAAAGTGGGTGCCCTACCACACAGCCATGGCTGTGCTTGTGAATACAATGAGAACTACTTCTGCTTGTAAATGCATTGAAAGCAACATTTATGCTTTACAAACACACGTCTCCTAATCACCAAAATCACCAAAGGTCTCCTTCTCTTACTGTAAATATGACCACTATGTTTTCCGACATACACAAAAGCTTTCACACGGCAGCAAGTGCACGTCTTGAGACAGATGGGCACACAATAAGAACAATGTATAATCATACGCTTTAGTCCCATCCAACTCCTTGGCCAGAAACGAAACTAACATACTGTTTCTTTTTTGTGTGGTTTTTTTAAATTGCTTCCTTGATTTTATAGGTGTCTTGAAACAATTCAATAAAATATTTGAAGGCACTTCGCTCGTAAGATACATGAAAAGTATTTTTTGAAAAATGTGCAATAGGTTTGCTTCACTGCACTAATAAAAGTGGACGATTGGGCCAGTTGGTGATACATAATCTAAGTGTACTACGTGGTAGAAAACCGTGTTTTCCACCGCGTAGTGGACTTAGTTTACTGCACTGCACTGCAGAGAGTGCCCGAGTCTAAATGTCTTTGTATAACAGAATGAAAGCTAGTTCATTAAACGTAAACAGTTAGATGCGCCGGTGGGTGTTTGCATCTATCGACATCCACCGTGTAATATTTCTGTAAGAGGTAGTCGTCCGAATCCGATGATTTAGACAAGTTGGGGTCACAGCAGTCATAGAAATGAACTTCTTGGGTTGATAGATTATGTGGCACGCCATCAAAATGTGCTAGAGAACATCAACAACTTAGGCGTGTCTGATTCCAGGCCCAGCTGCGGTTCTGCCTGAAATAATAGCTGACTGCAAGCATGAGGTTTAGTACAACGTGAATTCTTTCGGCCTCGCAGCACCGCAATACATTTGAATGCGGGAGAGCGCGAACAGTCAGATTTCAAAAAACAATAGATTTTTCTTTGCACCATATTGACTCTCTGCCGCTAACTTTGGCCGACTTCTTTCGGAAAACACTTGTGCATGAGAACCATTCCACAGATCAGACGATATTTCTCAATATTGCTGCTACTCGTGGAAGCTCGGGCGAACAAGGGGTACGACGACGGTTTCTAAACACGGCACGCGCGTAGTGGGGCGTGAGGTTCGCCACGGTTGACAGTCAGAAATGTTGCTTTTCTGACTGTTGCAGCCTGATGGGTGTCGAACGCACAATGTTGCTGCATGGGACAGCGGCTATGGGAGCAGTATTGTACCGAGTCGTCAGTGCATGTGCTCTACGATTCGTTTCGACGTGGAGCCAGATTGACGCATCAACTTTTACCCCTCTTTCTGTTGGAACACTACGGAAACTTTCCGGATGCGCACACTAGTAAACATAGGTGGGCAAAACTTGTGGAACTTACTTGGGAAATATATCTTGCTCTTAGGGCTCACTCCGACTCACACTCACCAACATTTTCCTGCACCGGACTGACTCGAACTCGCCAAAAAAAAAAGACATTGCTCATCCTGACTCGCTCAGACCCACAGCTCGATAGGAGTCTGAAGTCGACTCATAAGTGCGTTAGCCTGGAATCAGCTTTTTCGAATATGGTGTCAATGCTCAGTGCATTTTGATATAGCGCTTTCGAATACGAATTATGACTTCTTGCAAACCAGTAAGGTCACTTTTCTCGAATAATACGTAAGGTATGTTCATCAAGAATATCCCTGAAAAAGTTGGCAGGGTGGTTGAATCAGCACCTCTCAATAAATATCAAAATTGTGTACAAAGGACACTGCTTTGTAATACATGCGAGTAGACGTGAGTATAAATGTGAATCCTAGTAAGGCCGATAAGTAACACTGAAGATGAGTAGATAGGAACACCAACGTGCTCTTTGTTCACTCGAAATACATTTATTCAGTTTCTAGATTTTTTTTTTCTTTTTCCAGACATCGACGGGGGCAGTTTTGAAGGCTCAAACTCTCCAGCGTGATTACCAGGCCACCTCACTGCGACCGAGTCTCATCATCATCGTCACGATGTATCGAACATACTGGCTGCATGTTACGTGTTTTGTAAAGTTTTAACGCACACGATTTTATCTTGCTTATTGCATTTGTTTCTTATTATCGATATTTCAGGTGGATGATATTAAAATGTTGCTTTTAGCCCTATGCACTGCGTTTGTTACTTGTTTGGAGAAAATGTTCATTCTCTATTTCGCCATGAAGAAGGACCGCAATCATTTACGCACTTGCAACGGAAGCACTAAGCTTTTGTGTACTTCATGACGTTGTCACTTCACTCTACATGCCAAGCATGTATACTACAGTTGAGTTTTGGGATTGCCATCTTTGGCTGTGCAGGCTGAATTCTAAAACATATTCACCGCTAGCACACACTTTTAGGACGCAAGAGAGACAACAATCTAGCACATTGCAGTGTCGTCTGTCTTACGTCCTTGTCTGAAAGCGCTGCATGTATTTTTGAAGACTACTGGAGATTTCCTGCATTATATCTTGTGGGGTCTTGAAGTGGACAGCGCCACGCTCTTAGAGTGAATGGATGCAGAAGACCTGGTTTAAAGGAACCAAACAACACACATTTAACTACCTTGAGAACTACGTTTGGCAACCCGATTAATATACATCAATTGTTATCAACACGCTAAGACAGCCTCCCATGATATTGCACAACACTCAACAACACGACAAACTGTTGTGATCGGCTTCCCTGGCATGGCGCCGCTTAGACGTGAGACAGTTGCTGGACAGCGCTCCCAGAGGTGAACAAAAAGCGAGGGCAGGCTAACCGTACTTGGAATTTCACGGGGCCAACGTCTCCCTTCGTAGAATTCTTTGACCTTACCCGCCCGACTCACAGCCTATGAAGGGCTGTTTACAATCAAAGCGGCTTGAAAAGTGTGGTTATCTGTGTACGTCTTTGCTTGTCGGAGTGCCGCAGATGTGCCAAGCGACTGAGGTCCATGTTCGAGTGCGTTCTCAAGTTCTCTTTGCTGCCGCCATGCCGCCGTTTCTACAAACAGCTGCCTACCTGGCGCCGTTGACTCCTCACTGCAACGGATTACGGACTTGATTTCTACATAGAAACCAACATCTTCGCGCCGTGCTATGTCGTGCGCCTGGTGCAATGTTTGTGCAGTGTTTTCTCCCTCACCATGGTACGGACTGGACGTGCCTCTCCCCTCTTTCTCTGGGTTGGGAAGGAGGTGGTGTTTTACCCTCACCTTTCGAGGGCGGAGGTGAAGAGGACAATTTGATTGGACCATCCTGGATTTCATTGTTTCCTCTCTAAAGGATCCCGGGAATACATGGACTTTAAAAACACGAGCACAGAGACGCTCGAGGCATGCTACCAAAAACATTGTAGTATCACGCTACCTTGAACCTGTATATAATGTAAATAAACGCTCCTGTTAACCGCACCGGCTCTCTCCTCGACATCTCACCGGGACTTTGGCTGGCTCCAATCTTATGGGCAGACCCCCGACTAGATCAACTGGTTGGCAGCGATGGGATGTCCCATGCTTGACTCGGGCCTCAACGATATGGTGAGTGCTTGACTTCCTTTTAGTTCTGCCAGGTTTTAGCTTTTGAAGTTTTCTAAAACAGTGTATAATCTGTTGTGAGTATATGCTTCGTTGTACCACTACCATACGTCACAGCTATTCACCAAATGCTTAGCTTTCATATTCTAAACCAGCAGTAACTTTAACGTATGTGTAGGCTTCGCTGATTCGCAACCTAACAATACGACAAGAAAGAAAGTCCTAACTTGTGGAGACCATGTAATTGATAAAGAAGCTAAAGAAGCCAGACCTCTTGCTACTGTGTGAAGAGCTGGGAATAGGGGTGGAGAGAAGAGAGAGAAAGCCGCAGCTGATCAGGGCAATTCAGCAGTGTGGTGTGGAGGATGATGAGATTCAGGAGTGTTGGGAAGTTGTGGAAAAAAGGCAAAAAGAGGCAGAGAAGGACAGAAAAAAAAGAATCAAGGCGTTTGGCTTCGCAAGAGTCACAAGCAAGCAATAACTCGAATAACGGGAGACCTGAAGCCGAAAAAATGAAAGGTGTCATGGAGCCTTATAAGGTCAATGACGACATGGGCCTGTTTCTTGTTAATTTTGAAAGGCTATGTGAAAGCCATGAATTTCTACGTGACCGTTGGCCGCAGAGGCTTCTATGTGTTCTCACTTGTGAAGCGGCCGAAATAATTGCGAGGCTAAAGAATGAGGATGCCGGTGACTACGATAAAGTGAAAACAGCCTTGTTTAAGAAATACTGTCTTTCCGCTGACGCCTTCCGCCGCCGTTTTCGGAAAGCAGCCAAGAGATGGAATGAGTCGTTTCAGGAATTCAGCTACAAACTCAATGCTGACTTAGTTCAGTGGCTGAAGGGAGAGAGCGCTTTCGGAAACCACGACAGGGTAGTTGAGGTTATATGCCTGGAACAGTTTTACAGTTCACTAAGCCCTGAAATGCACCTGTGGGTATAGGACAGAGTAGGCGATGGAGACGGGGAACAGGCTGCCGAGTTAGCAGATGAGTTCACGGCACGTAGTCCGAAAAAGTGCGCAGTAAGCCTTTGTCAATTTCGCAGAGACGACAGGAAGCAACCCTTTCAAAGTAGGGGTACCGAAACCATGAAGAGAGAACCACAGAAAGGTGCAGCTGCCGAGACTGAAACTGCCGCAGGTGGCTTAAAAAACGAGAAAAGAAAGAGGAGGCGTTTGAAGAAAAAAAGCCAATCGTTAGTTACAGGTGCAATGAGCCTGCTCATGTCTCAACAGGCTGCCGAAAGCCCGAAGCTGTTCTTTCGTTTTCCAACAGCAGTGATGAGAGCTATTAAAGAGCTATTATTAAAGCTTAGAGCTATTGAAGTCCTGCCTTTACGAGCTAACAGTCAATGGAAAGCCATGTCAGGTACAGCGTAACTCTGCCGCAACTATGGACATTGTACATCCCTCCTACGTGAGACCTGAAAATTTCACTGGCAAGTGCGCGTGGATCCGGCAAGTAGTCGAGGAAAACAGTGTATGCCTGCCGATAGCACGTGTCGAGGTTGACGTACCCTTCGGACTGCTCGTGACAGAGGCTGCCGTGTCACAGAACCCACCGATGCATTATCCCTACCTTTTTTCGAATCGGTCTAATATGCTTTCAAGAAAAAAGGGCCTCTGTTTTAGTGACCATACAGTACTGGCTGTGACGCGTTCAAAAGCTCGGAAAATCGCAGCTGAGATAAAGCGCTACGAGATTGAGGGAGAAGAAAGCTCAGATGATGCGCAAGTTGAAGGCCACGGCCTGTGCGAGGGTGCCTAGTCCTTAGAGTCTCGGAAAACGATGATTGCGGAGCAACAAGAAAGGGCCTTGGTATTGCCACATTCGAAAGGTTTCTTAGATCTCTTAAAAGTGGATAGAGAACAGATAGTTGCGGAATAGGAGGGCGACTCCTCGCTCCGTAGCTTAAGTGAAAAACTCGAGAAAGGGGTGACTATGGAAAACGTTAGCTTCCAATGTGGTAGAGGGGTTTTGTACCGTCAGTACAAAGATAAGAAATGGGTTCAGTATAACCAGCTAGTTCTTCCCTCGTAATACAGAGGCCAAATTCTCGACTTGTTCCACGGCAAAGGCTGGGCCTGCCATTCGGCAGTAAAAAAAAAACTAAAGATAGGCTATAGTAAGGGAACTTTACTGGCCGGGGTGCTTCCGAGATGTTAAGAATCATGTTGAAACATGTGAAGCATGTGAGAGGATTGGGAAGCCGCACGAAACCCGAAAATCCCCTATGAAATTGGTGCCTCTAATAACTAAGCCATTCAGGCGCTTGGTGGTTGACGTAGCAGGGCCCCTTCCCACAACTAGTTCAGGCTACAAGTATATATTAACTATGCTTTGTCCTGCAACAAAGTTTCCAGAAGCCATACCACTGAGAGGTAAATTCGGTCGAAGTAGTCGAGGCCTTGCTTTCAGTGCTTTCTCTAATAGGCTTCCCAGCTGAGTTGCAAAGAGACCAGGGAAGTATTTTTACAAGTGCTCTTACGACCACTTTCCTAGAGAGATGTGGCATTAAAATCATACCCAGTTCCGTGAAGCATCCGCAGAGCAATAGTGTGTAAGCATGCCAGGCCGTATAAAAAGAGTGTTGCGAGCATTGTGCTACGAACAAAAAAAGGATTGAGAGGCCTGTTTGCCAGTCACTATGTTTGCCTTGAGGTCAGTATCTCGTAAAACCGCAGCGTTCAGCCCTGCAAAACTTGTCTACGGGAGGTCGCTTCGCTCACCCCTTCAGGTGGTGCTTGAGGCATGGGAAGGGCGTGAAGAGAACCCAACAGTGGTCCAGTACGTACTGGAACTACTGTAGCGTCTACAATCCTGTCAAGAACTGGTATAGACAAACATTAAAGCCAAGCAGAGCAAAGCAAAGTTGTACTATGACAGAAACGCGAGAAAACGGGTCTTTCGTGACGGCGACAAAGTATTTCTCTTAACAGCGTCATGAAAAAACGAACTAGACGTTCTGTGGGAAGGACCAGCTGAAGTTGCAACAAAGCTGTCAGACACAAACCATGTGGTTAGGCTACCCGGCAGACGCAGGGAGTTGAGAATATATCATACGAACTTATGAAGCCTTATAGAAGGCGCGAAGCTATAGTTCAGCTCGTTCTAAACGTTCCCGAGGACGGGGAAACTGAGTTTGACTATCCGATTCCCCCATCTGCAGTTCCTCTTGAAAAGGCCTTGGACAAGATAACGTAGGACTCTGGTCTTAACGCAGATCAGCAGAGTCAGCTCAAAGAGCTTCTATGAGAATTTGAGGAATGTTTCGCCAACCGGCCGGGAAGGACTAGCTTGATAGAGCATGATATTGAACTGGCTTCGAATGAGCCAATCCAATGCAGACCGTACCGAATTTCCCCTAGACAAAGATAAATTTTAGAAAGCGAGCTGCAGCGTATGTTAGAGTTGGGATTGATAGTTCCGTCAGAAAGTGAGTAAGCGTCAGCGCTCATATTGGTAGGAGCTCAGGGGAAAAACCCATTGACTATCACCATCTAAACGGCATAACGCGCGATCAAAATGATCCAATTCCTAAAGTGGAGGAACGAGTGGAAACAATTAGCAGTGCTGAATATGTTTCTAAACTAGACTTGACTA